TAGTTCTCCTCAAAATGAGTATTCTCTCTACTGTTAGATAATGATCCTGTCACTTCTCATGCTAATTAGTCTGCATGTTCTGTCTCTCTCTTCTTAGTGAGAGGTTTCTTGAGTGGGTGGCCGTGGTCTGCCCTGCTGGAATTCCCTTTTGCCCCGCCAGAGCTGATTCAGCACAGGTGCTGCTTTTCTCCCGCCAAACTCAACACACCTCCTTGGATTCCTTTGATGGTTCATACAAAGGCTTTTCCAATCGTCCATAATTGGGGATCCACAATCAACATCATCCAGTCACTCCCAAAAAAAAGGACACAGTTCTTTTCTAGATCTGGGCTCTGGTGTTTGACAACTTGCTTTCTTCCTTTCTGTTCCCAGAAGGACGCTGACCTTGTGAGTGTGGAAGCCAGGAGACCAGACACTGGCGGATATGGATACAGTCTTGAAGAAAAGAGAAATGAGAAATGGGAAGAGAGAAATGGGAAATGAGCTTTGGAAAGTACTATTTGACACATTTTCAATGACAAGCTTTTATTCGTTCTCCCTGTAATGACTGGACAAGTTATTTTGGTGCCAGGTTTAAATCATGGGGAAAATGAAAGTATAAACAGAGTATAAAATATGTTTCCACATGTGTCAGTAACTTCAATGGCCACCTGCAGTCAGCGCAAATATCAGCCTGTAATTATGTTCAGGATCTGTGCTGGCGCTTCCAGTGTCAGCTCCTCCTGCAGAGCACATGGGGGCCTAGGCATGCTGCTGGCTTGCTTCCTTTTAGGAGGCTGGAATGAGGAAAGGTCTGCGGGGTTTTGCCAAAGAGGTGATATTTGAGTGACCGTGTACATGCTCGAAGCCTCACAGACTGACCGGCCCACGGCAGGACTGACCAGTGCTGGGAGGGCTGCCCCTTGCTGCCTTGGTTAGAGGTGTTAAGCTGCTCCTTCACCTCAGAGACAGCCAAGTACAGTACTTTTGTGCAGAAATACTGTTAGCCCTGGGTTGCACAGCTGCAGCAACTGGGATGGCTGGAGAGCCCCTTCCTGCACTTGGAAATGAGCTGAGTCAGTCATGGGACAGGGCAGGGCATTCCCCACATTTGCCCATTTAAAATTCCCTCTGCCCCAAGCGTGTCACGTCCCACTCCTCAGTGACATCCCGCCCAGCCTGGAGCATGGAACTCCCCGTTTCCAAGGACACGTGGCCGTTGTCACCAGCACACAGCAGGCCCGCTCAGACCCTTCCGCGGCTGCAGCGAGAGCGGAGGTGTCAGAGTGCTAGGGAGTGTTGCCCCAGATTGGCTGGTTCTAGCACAAGTTGTTCAAGAGGCCAATCCACGCACTGAGTGGAGGTAATTCTTTACAGTTCTGTTCAGAAAGGGGGGCGCAGTGGTAAATTGACAAAGCCAGCACCACAAGAATCAGAACATTTTAGTATTTATACATTTTATCAGATAAAGGAATTAGTGTTCATTGACTGCAAGTTACTTAGTTCTCCTCAAAATGAGTATTCTCTCTACTGTTAGATAATGATCCTGTCACTTCTCATGCTAATTAGTCTGCATGTTCTGTCTCTCTCTTCTTAGTGAGAGGTTTCTTGAGTGGGTGGCCGTGGTCTGCCCTGCTGGAATTCCCTTTTGCCCCGCCAGAGCTGATTCAGCACAGTTGCTGCTTTGGCTTTCTTAGTTTGTTCCTTGTCTTGGGGGTTCTGCCAAATGTCCTTGTGCCCATAAATTCTGTATTCTTTCTGTCCACCATCTGTGGTACATCCTTCTTTCCAAGCCTTGCTAACCTCCCCTAGGTCAGAGGTCACTGAAGCCTGTCAAGCCCTACACCTTAAAAAGGCAACTCAGTCAAGAAGTAATTTTTCTTTCCGACACCTGGCCATCACTTAGAGCTTGTTGGCTACTTTCTGTTCCATGGAAATAATCTCCCTTCTCATTGATGAGCCTTGAAAGCCACAAAGGGCAAACAGCAAAGAACACCTTTTCCTAACAACAATTTTACATTCTCTAGATTTTGCAACGGAAGCAGTGGCTGTGTGGGAGCGGGAGCAGCCAAGGCAGAGCCGGATGGCCGAGCTGCGAGCCTGGGCACGATCCACCATGTTCCGCAGGGCTCCAATCCACACTGCGTCCCGCAGGGCCCCCAGCACCACTGCAATGCCCCTCAGGGTGACCCAGAGGTCCCAGGACCAGCAGGTGAGGGGTGGCTGTTGGGCTCTGTGGGTTGACACCGTGTGGGCCTTAGCCATGGTTTTGGTGTCAGGTGCTGCTGGCCCTGCGGGTCCTGCCGTGCAGGGCTGGGGCCCCTCTGGTGCTCCAGGGACCCCTTGGAGGCAGCTGCCCCGGTGGAGGCGACTCACAGGGATGACACCCAGGAGGTGCCAGTGGAAGTCAAAGGTTGTCTGATGGAAGTGGCTCTCAGAGATGACACGGAAGAGGCACCGGTGGAAGTTGGACGTTCCCCATGCTGTGACACTCAGGAAATTTGTGCTCTGGGCATGGCTTTTGGCCAAAATGCATGGACTTCTCATTGTTCCGTGTTTTTACCAGCGCCATTGAAAATGTAAGGAATAACTGAAGCCCTTGAACAGTAATTTTTTTAGTATTAGGAGTAGGCATTACTTTATTCCCGGCTCTGTTGCATAGTGAAGAACTTCAGCCACATGCATGCCACTTTCAAAGCTTTTCCACTTACTGATACATTTTTAGCAAACAAAGAAATTGCTATTCATTGGTTTTATATCATTCTCCTCATTAATTAGTCTTCTATCTTGTATTGGACATTGATGTCTCCTTTCTTATTTTAATTAGTCCATATTTTTCATTCTGTCTACTATCTTTTTCCCAGACAAGTTGTTTTGAGCTTTGAAGCTGAAATGTCTTTATTAGTGTTTGTCTTCTGCTTACTCCAACATGTTCTTGGAGGACTATGAAGTGTACATTCCAGGTGTCCAGCCTTTTACGCCTCAGGTTTTGTTCACTGAAGGTTATGAGGGTTAGTTTAGGAAAAATTTTTTGGTGATGTAAGAATCCAGCTCTGACAACAGACTGCCAAAAGACTCTTAGCTACCTACTCTCTAAAGCAGAAAATTGCAATGCTTAAGACTGATACAGTGCTTATGATTAATATACTGCTTATAATTGAACAATTACTTACAAAGTTAATTAAAATAATTAGTCAGGAAAAAAATGTGGGCTAAACAAGCAATGAAAAGCTGCATAAGTAATCCAAGCTTATGTTTTGGTACCTTACATGATTGGTTTCCATGCTTCTCTAAAATGCACATAACGATCCTGTCACTCCTCATGCTA